AATCAACAATGAAACATGAGCCAGAAGATACAGACCGAAGCTACAAGGAAGTACGCTGGAAACGCACAGGTGACAGATTTTTTTTGCACAGAGAGTGGTAGGACGCTGCTATGATGTCGAAGCCGATATCTTCCTATCCTGGTATCTTTCAAGAAAAGGCTGGATGAGATCTCCAGATCCGTTAGTAAGCAGCAGCCACAGAAGCTGGATGGCCTGAATGGCTCTTGTCTGTAACATTCCATCTGTTCTTATGAGTATGGATTAGAGGCCAAGTGTCTCAAGCCAGTGAGATCATGAATTCCTGATGAAATCACTTCATACAGCAGATAAGGACTTCAGGCTTGAAATACAAAACACAAATATTTCCTTTTTACATAGACGTCCATGCTTTGGTAAATATTTCCAGCTATATGTGACCTTATGCAGTTTGATAAAACAGGCAGATAGGCTTTACAATCCACAGACCTGTGTGTGATCAAGAAATGTTGCCTAGAACTGTTGACGTAGTTTCTATTGCCCTCTCTAAAATGCAAATGATTCATTACCAGGGGTGGCAGGTTCAACACCCATTTTATTATCCTAGATGGCATTTATCAGCAATTAGATGTCTATTTGTCATTAATTTACTTGCAGTTGCTATTTTCATCACATCAGAAATATACGTCTTAAATGCATTAATTAAAATTATCATCTGTTGGTGTAGAAGGAATATTTAATAGTTTTGCCAGATAAAGTTAAATATAGGAACAAGTAAAGTTTATTACATGTTGGAAAGAGAAGAAAGGAAACAACGTTTCGGCTGTGGAGCCTTCTTTTGGTGTGAAATATAGTTAAATACATGCAATTTAGGATCATGATACCTCTTGTATTGGAATTTGACATTCCAACGTCAAATTCGCTTCTAGTGAAGAGTACCACTTCATTTCCTAGGTAAGGAACAATTTCATGATAGCTTTAATGTTTACAGTTACATAATTCATCATTTTAAAATAATCAATAAAAGGAATCTCTGGAAAAATTGTCCCAGACCATCTCTTTCCACTCAGGCACCACAACGTATTGATTTCATTTTGTTTCCTTCAAGGCAAAAAATGTTATTTTAAGTATAAAGGGGCCAAAAATTAAAAGGCTGGTTGAGATAAATCGTGGATAAAATGAAATAGTTTAGCATTTGTTAATTCTTAGGTACATAATATCCGCCCTAGCTTCCGCCAGTACAACGAATTATAAAAATGATAACACACTGCATAAAGTGCTTCGTTAAACAATGGCGTTTAACCTCCAGTGTTGCGGTTTTGAGGTTTAGATTATACTACTTGAAACTGATTGTGAAAAGTTACATTTCTAGCTGTCACGGTTAAAAAAAGGTTTGCTCACTGTTGTGCGGTATGTCAGTACTTCCCTTCCGAGTGGGATGATCACTATTGCAGTGAACACACCACGCAGGAGTCAAGTTTAGAATTTTCCAAAATATATGACTCTTTGATGGCGATATTCGTCCTTGTTGTTAATATAAAACCGTTCCTATAGTGAACTAGCCATCAATCAGCAGTGTCAGGTCTGCATTTTACTGCCACTGCGAGTCCCTCAGAGCACTAACCCTGTAAAAGTTTATATAGTGTATTGACTATTCTCTGAGGGTAGCTTACTTAATTAAGACCGGTGGCCTTTGAGAATGAAAGGGTACCGCTGTGTCAACAGTGCTTCCTATTTGGTGACACCTTCTGCTAAATTAAAATGTGCTGCAAACAGAGGTGAAAGTTTAAAGAAGAATGAGCGTGTAATCGGCCCACGCCAGACCTCACACGTGCAAAAGAGAATATTTACACCAAACTTGTCAAAGTAAACGAGCCCGCCCCCCGTCCATACAGATGCTTACCCGTCGAACGGTGCCTCCTAAGAGGATTCAACGTCCTTCGGGCTCAAACGCAACACTGAGCGATCGTTATTCGCAGGGGAAAGTGTGTTTATCCACTATTCAAATTCTAAGATATAAAATAGGTTAACAACAGCTACTACTACTCCAAATTTCATATCTTTCTGAGAAATAGTCGGTAACATCGGAGTAATATTATTAATAACCACCGTCGTTTAAGAACGCACGTTAGCCTCACTCATGCGTTAAAAAGAGTTGAAAGAGATGCGATCTTCCTATGATCTCCAAGCAAAACACCAATTCACCATATCCTACAAAACAACTTTGGGAACCGGACCAGTTCAGTAGGTTCCTGTCACAACAGCATACCAGATTGGGAGACTGAAAAAAAGCCATTAGCCAAAGGCATGCCTTCAATCAGAACAGGCTCGGCTAATAAAAAATGTTAAAAATGAAAATACACACCATGAAGTCTTTTAACAAGATTATCCGCTCTAATCTTTAAGGTTAATGTGTATTTCTCCTCTAGGCGAAACTTTAACACATTAAAGGCGAACACTACCCCTCCCAAGCAACATGCATTGAAAGAGAAGCTGTGCGGCTTTTTAATAAGAAAGTTACTCTTCAGGGCTTGTTTCCTCAATTTGTTCGTCTCGCTTCACGTTTCTGGGTCAAACTGGAACAATATCAAGCGATCGAGCGCCTGGCTCGGTCTGAAACCATTGCACGGAGTGTCACCTTCAAAGAACACGGAAGGCCGAGATGAAAGATTGAGAAAGAAATCCAATTTAACGTCTCTGTCATGACTTTTAAGGACCGAACAAGCGTGAAAGACCAGGCAAATGCGTGTGACTGGAGAAATCGGGAAATTGAGCAAATGTAAACAAATCTGGGATTGCTACTGAAACGCAAAATTAAAAAAAGGCCGGGTAAATATTAACATTAACCATTTCAGGTCTTGCACTTGATGTATGGACTTTGTTCAGATGTCGAACATTTCATAAGCATTTCTGTGGTTCGGAAAAAAGAAACCTCGTTCTCGAGCGAAGGCCCGGCGTGTCTGCAGGTTGCGGACAGGTTACGTGATGAACAGTTCGCAGTCAATGTTTAACCAAGATGGCTGACCACCATTCAGTCCCTGATGTTTACTTGCAAATTAATCATCCAGTGCGTAGTCGGCGCCAGTGTAGATTTATCACTCACATGAGGCGGCCGGGGAGAGACTAAAAGACTTCACACCTTACTGCGTTTGATCCTAAGATTAGCTCAGCCTCCCACATAACACGAGTCTCCAGGGGTTTTACTTAGGAGGTCACTTATAATCGGCGGAAGTTTGTACATCATTAACAGAACGTTAAATTAAAATAACTAATAAGCATTATTATTTTGCTGCAGATGCTGATTGGCGTTCTCGTAGTCCCCCCTACCACAGTTTTTCGGGACGAGAGAGCTTTCAAAAACGATGCGAGATTCTCGAGGCAGAAGATTGATTCCTTCAATGGCTTAACAAATCAACAAGTCCTAGCTAACACAGGAGACGTTTTAGAAGGAAAAATCAAATTTGTACAACAGAAGAGGGTAAGCGGGGCGTATTGTACTTAAGTAATATATACCGATTTACATGTCCCGCTCTTCAAAATATAATGTGAGACCTTAAGACACCTGAAAACGCCAAGCACAGTATTTGCAAATTCTTAAAGATCGGAGATTAGTATTTGACAGTAAATCAAAAACTATGAAATATTTTACTTTCCACCGCTAGTGATCTATTATTACGAGTGTGGCTGTTATGACTTGTGATTAATAATAAATCTATGCATTACTCTTTTTTTTCCACCAGTGCTACGAATCCTTGTCGATTAAAATGTATTACCAATACAGGTTATATTATAACCGGCATTATCTGAATACGAACCTCTCTCTCTCGCTGCAGGGATCGGAGGTGGCGATTTCTGGTGAATGGAAAGTGATATAGATGTTAGTTACGAAATGGACGTCACCGGGCCGGCGCCAAGCTCTCTTAAAAATGTGCGTCGAAAAATGCAACGCTAGAAGAGCTAATCACTTTAAATGTTCCGCTCCTATCTCCAGCCATTTAGATCCGGCTTTTTTTTTCCAGCACTATCTCGCGTAAATACACACAAGCACAGCCTACAAGCCCCACTCTCGCCGTCTCTTTCGCTCTCATCGTTTTAAGCTGCTTTAGGCTTAGCGTAGAAAAAGTGCTTTCCCTCAGAAGCGCCGAGGACACCGCGTCCATCAGGCGCCACTGCCAGATAATTAAATCACCTCGTTAAATTCATTTCTCTCCGGCTCCCACCCTATTGAAGAGGGACACGGGGAATGATATAGACTTAGACAGCAATCTCTGAACGCTTCACGGTTTGCTTGATACGTTAAACCCCGACGTTCTGTACGACAGGACTCTCTGGGTGACGAAAGGGTGAATACTGGCACAAAACAACGCGCTCCTAAGATTAGATATATTCCATATGGAAATGTGACCGGTATCTCAAACACGGACAAGCCGAGCGAAGGAGACAGGGCTGTCCTGCAGACTGGGTGTAGCTAGAAGACTTGGGCACGGCCAGCGTTAAAGCTTTAATATGCAAGCTGTATGATCGTTAAATTTTCAAAAGCAAACAATGCGATACATATATGATGTTAGCCATGAATAAATGATTATGCCCGTTTTTAATAATGACTTGAACTGCAATTGGTCTTCCACTGATTTATAAGAACCTGCGTGTCTGCCTCTACTCTTTTTAAACGACTGAAACGACTTTGTAGCAAGTGTTAGAAGCTACTGCACATGTATCCATCTTTCTCGGACACAGTCCGATCCCTACCTTCAACACTATGCAATTTAAAGCCATCGGCAAACGTGTGATTGGAACTGCACTAGTCGCGTTGAAGGCGAGCTTCCCAGCTATGCGCACAGATAGTGATTTCCTATGAACAAAGCCACCTAGAGGAGGCTCGAGCTAGTTTTCCTCGCTGGGTCCGACGAGAACGACCCTCCCCAGCCTAATGATGTTGACATATTCACACTGCATGGAGTGGAGTAGTGATGCTTCGCTGTAGCGTTACAGCTTCCGACACCTTCTTTTTATAACTCAAGACTGTCCCCTCCACCCGACCTGTCAAAACCACGCCTACGAAGCCACACAATTGGTCCAAAAGCGTCAAGTAGCCAATCAACAGGGATCAGCTCCTTGCAACACACAACACATCCATACAATCTGGAACCTACAGAGCACAGAAGCGCAGGGTATTTCTTGGTGCTGAGATCTCGCCTTCTCTCTGCCTTCAACTGGAGTCCTTCTTTCTCTTATTTCTCTTTTTTGAAGTGTGTGTGTGTGAGAAAAAGAGAGAAAGAAAGTGTGTCTGTACGTGCGTGTGTCTGTGTGGAAAAGGGGGAGAGAAATGAATTGTTCTGCGCAAACGATCAATCTCAATACGTATCCACCGAAGCAAGACTGAAGCCTGTGAGAGATTTCTAAATCATTTTTTAAGGAATACCGACATATTCGAGACAAACGTAACATCAAAATTACGTTGTTTCTGTACATTTTTACGCACAGCCGACCAGCAAGACGACAGCGTAAAAAATACAGAGAACAAGCAACGCGTTAACCCTTGAAAAAGCAAGCCATCTACAGCACTCGAGAAGATAAAAGGAATCATATTTCTAAAGTTTTCATGGCAGACATTTGGATGGAATTTCAGAAGCGGCAATAAAGAGAATTCCCGCTGTTCCAAATCAGTTCTTGCTGGGATGCATCTTCTAGTTCTGATACGATAGTAAAGAAAAGTCGAAACTTCATGACTAAGAAATGCGCAGCTAAAACATTTTCCCTCTTCTGAACAAAAGTGAACCACCATAACACATAACTGGAAATCCTGTGGTAAAGTAGGTGAGCTTACCGATGAGAGATCCAGTTGTACCAGGAACGAGTATGGCATACCACCCGTTTTTACCTCACCGGGCTCCGGACTTTGCCATGAGTGCGATGTTGGGACACCAGCCTCCCTTCTTCCCGGCGCTGGCTCTCCCTCCCAACGGTGCTCTGTCTCTGCCGGGAGCTCTGGGGAAGCCCATCATGGATCAGCTGGTTGGCGCCGCGGAGACCGGCCTCCACTTCTCCTCGATAGGTCACCAGGCAGCCGCTGCCCATCTCCGGCCTCTTAAAACATTGGAACCCGAAGAAGAAGTGGAAGACGATCCCAAAGTTCACCTGGAAGCCAAGGAACTTTGGGAGCAGTTCCACAAGCGCGGCACTGAAATGGTCATCACGAAATCTGGAAGGTAAACCTCACCTCCCACTTCTTTTTTATTCTCTCTCTCCCTCTACCATCCCTGACAACCCCGAATTCTCATGAAAACGCGTTTTTTATTTGTATTACTGAGTGCCGCAAACAGCACCTCGCAGTCTTTTTAAAGGCCGACTATATATACACATATTTTTTGGAAATACTGCGGATCACGATTTGTTTAAAGATGCCAGTATTAAAAACAAAAAAAGATATACATCAACCCCTTTGAAGCCGACCATTTTCTCCCATAAGTTTGTTCTGTTGCTTGCATCGGTCAGATACAATTTACAACTGTTAGGTTATTAAAATATATCTAATCAGAAAGTACTATTTCTAGGATCGCCCATTTGATCTTTTCCCGTGTTCACCGTAATCGGACGCGGAAAAAAAATGCAAACCTTAGCAGACCTATAAATTGATCGAACGACACCTTTCTTGGTAACAGTTTAACCTGGACTCATTTTTTACGATTCCAATCGGCGATTATAAAATCATAAAACTGCAGCTTGCGGGGAGCTAGGCAGAGGGTTAAATGATCTCATTATTACGGTATCATTCATTTTCCCTCCATTTGCGTCTTGGTCAAAGCCTTTTCTTCCTGCTAGATTCAATAATAAAATGGCACAGACACCGACAGAGGTATATACTAGGAACAAAAATATCGGGAGCGAAAAATACGACTTCTAGGCCTGGTAGTTTAGTTCAGTATATTCCATAAAGCTGCAGTAGGGCAGCATACACTCCGCACGGACAGTAAGCCCAGTTTGTCCGTGTCAGATAATATACGTTCCTAAGTTTATCGTCATGTGTTTCCTCTGAGGCAAAATGTTATTTTATGCCAGTAGCCTGGTATTATAAAAACACAAATTTGTGGCATCCTGTTGTAATTCAACACAATGTAGCTGCAAAGCGTTTTGGAGATATGCTATCATAATGCAATGCTGACTGCCATTATGTTCGTAAATCATGTATGCGTGGCGGTGAAGAGTGTTGTAAAATATTATCTAAAAGATTAAAATAGTTGAAACATAAATAATTTCCACACACGCAAACACACTCTTGTAGGAAGTTACATTTAGAGTTAAGGGCCAGACAACTCGGTGCAAACTCCAAAATTATCCCAAATTACAAACTCGCCTTTATTAAATGAAAAGGGAGGAAACTGATCTATGAAGAAACCTAGAAAGGGACAAAATAACATCTTATGGTCTTTAAAGTAGGAAAAAAAACATGTATATTAAAACACGACGTTCTTCTCTTCCTCAAGGCGAATGTTTCCCCCGTTCAAAGTGAGATGCACCGGCTTGGATAAAAAAGCCAAATACATTTTGTTGATGGATATTGTAGCAGCCGACGACTGCAGGTACAAATTCCACAACTCTCGCTGGATGGTCGCGGGAAAGGCCGACCCCGAGATGCCGAAGAGAATGTATATCCACCCGGACAGCCCGGCCACTGGCGAGCAGTGGATGTCAAAAGTCGTCAATTTTCACAAACTTAAACTGACTAACAACATCTCCGACAAACATGGATTTGTAAGTTTAATCCATTCCTTATTTTTTTTTCTGTTATGCATAGGAAATCTTCCAATTGCTATTAGAAAATATGATAGTGATATTGAAGGCTAATATGACTTTCCCTCAAAACTGTAGAGCAAGAAATTTGAGGAGAATATTTGGAATGAATGTAAAGGCTTTCTAAGAACAAGAAAAGGTTTCGCCAGCATGAAGGCCCACAAGTCCTATGACTTAGGCCAAGACAACGGTTGCAGTAGTATTATTTCTTGTTCAAATTGTAAAAGCCATTTTAAAGCATAAAAGCGATAGAACACTGAAATATTTCACCGTGTTTAACTCTCGTAAACTGTAAAATGAGAGCAAGGCTTTTGCTTTTTAAATAAGAAACAAGACGCATTTAAACTTACAGATGGATTCGCAAGTTATAATTCTTAGAAACTACTTCTGAATTGTGAAAAAAAAGCTGAATTCAATTTAGATGCGTAGACTGATTTTGCGTAATACAGAGAAAATTGTTACAGATTAATCAGACTCTCTCGGGGTGATATATTCCTATATATATATTATATGACAGATGAAGTGATAACATTTCTTTGTTTTACTGAAGAATGACTGGAAATTATAACATAATAGTTACGCGCTGTAGCAATCTCATTTTGAATTCGTGGTACCGCGAACATAGAACAGGTACCACTTTCTACCAATAACAATGGTTTTGTTATGCAGTTAGGTTAAAGAATAAGAGGTCTTAAACGTCACATTAAATTCCTAATAATTCTAAAACTTTTTGAAGCCCCGGGTGAATAAATGTGTACATTTATAGTTTAATCCCATTTTGATCATGTGTGAGTTTTATTTTATTATTTTTTTCTGTCCTTGTCTATGAATACGTGATTATGTCTTGAAATCCTTAATTGTTTTCCTGCTGCAGACAATTCTGAACTCCATGCACAAATACCAGCCCAGGTTTCACATCGTCAGAGCCAACGATATTTTAAAGCTTCCTTATAGCACTTTCAGGACTTACGTCTTTCCTGAAACAGAGTTCATTGCTGTAACAGCCTACCAAAATGATAAGGTAAGATTATCGGTATATTATTCATAGTCCTTGCCGCCGTTGTCTGCTACCAGTGTAGAAAGTGCCGTTTTAGATTTTAAAGTAGTTTATGATTGGATGTTTCCACATGTGCATACTTATACGTTGCCTAGTAATAAAATAAATACAAAAATAAACGAAGAGATAAGGTATTATGCCTTGCCTTGCACGCCTAGCTCCAGGGAAATTCTTGCTTGTATTACAATTCTGTAAAGAAATGTATGTTCGGTTTTGGGGAAAGACAAAGTTACATGTAATTTTGTTATGCTGGAATCTGTAGGCCACCTGTACCAGTTAAAATAAAGTATCTACCAAGTTCACTCGTGTTTTGCAGCATTTGTAGAATAGGGTGGGTATCTCCGCGGTTAGTCGATCATAAAAATACGTTATCTTTCATCGTTAGAATTGGATTTTTATATCAATTGCATAAACGTTTGGAATTGTTGGTGAGTGTGCTTGTGAGTTTGTGGAGATGAAAATTAATAGATGCAAGACTATTTTCCTCCGTGTCTTACTGGGCCGAGGCGCTTTCTGTGTTCCTTAATTTTGTTCACAACCAGGTGCTAATCAAAATGGAGACTTCATTTTTGGCACTCCTACACATTAGGAGATTAAAAGTAACAGTGAAAAAAACACAAAGGTTGGAAGAGGGGTCAAGCATGAATTGTAATAGTTATTAAGCACATATGCTGGATTTTCTTTTTCATTCTGCCAATCCGAACATAAAACATTCAACCAGTGTGTCTTTTATAGACTTAGAAAGGTGCGGAGGCTGTGTGTGTTAATATGTGAAAAAGTATTTTATGTTTAAAATTTTGGGGATTGTTGATATCTTAACAGTGCCGAATTTAAATAAACAAAACACTTAGACTGTCTTCCATGCTAATTATATAATAATGTACCTATTTTAAGAGCTATATGTGGTTTACCTTCTTGAAGTAATTAATACAGGAGGTAACTATGTTTTCTTAACCGTCTATTACAGAAAATCTGAAGAATGTGTTTTTTTTTTAACTAGAGGCCTATGACAGGCATAGTTCCAAACTAGCGGAGCATCAAAACGATAGATCTCGCGTGTGTGTGTGTTTGCGCGTAAAGCAACGCTCATTAAAATGAACATCTGAAGGGGGCTCGTATCGGATTAAAATTAATATTACGCATTTAAAATGCTAATATACCATGTAGCCTATTAGGTTCAATCACACTCTTTAAATACAAGTTTTCAGGTTGAAATAGCGGTTTAAATAGCAGCCAAAAAACTAAAATAGTATCGATATTAATTGTAATTGCAGATAAAATGGCGTCATAACGTCAGTCCCATGGCCTTGAGTCAGTGTTTCATCGTAAAATTCATTTTTTAAAGATTGTGCTCTGTACCCTACCCAGTGCATCGACCTGACAACGAATTTAGAAATACGAGATACATTCTGTTGTCACGCTTTAATGCTATAAGAAGTCCAATAACAAAATGTATAACACAAATTGTCGATGTGTCTATAAGATATACGTCTCTAAATGACAAATAAGGCTTGACAGGGGAAATAGTTCCGAAATAACACGAAGTTTCCTCTCTCCAACCTTAAAATAAACGGTTGTGCTAAAGTAGTCCCAAGATTGGACACCGAGCCCTTAGCAAGATCAACAGGAGTACAGAAAAATAAGTAAGAATGATACATATAACTTTTCACCCCCTTCTAATTTATTCGAATTAATTTGAAGATCACGCAGGTAGTATTGACTGGTTTTAATTGTACTAATAATAATTCTAATGTTTTATCAAAAACAGTTAAATGCCAGTGTTACGGACAACTCCCCTCATCTTAATTATTGTCCGTATAAGAATAATAAATAATAATGTATTTTTAGTCTGTTCCTTACACTTTTGATGGAGTATATAGGAGTACTTGAGTGATTATCAACGAAAAAAAAGCGATGCATTAAATGCATATATATTAATTCCCAGATAATGTAAGTTACATTATTGATATATGCTCGATTTCTTTTTCATTATTCTTACTACAACTTTAAAACCCTCTATAAAGAACTCTATAGCGAAATGGCCGCGTGTAAGCAGTGTACACTATGCAGACGTCAACTATGAAGTATCAATGCACCAGGGTCCACGCAATTACTAGATCCAATTGAAAAGGCCCATGTAAAATCCCGTGAAATAAAAGGACAAAAACAAGATTAAGTGCATTTCCCATATTTATTTTGCAAATGCTACATATATTTTATTTCCTTTCCAGATCACGCAGTTAAAAATCGATAATAATCCGTTTGCCAAAGGATTCCGGGACACCGGTAACGGCAGGAGAGAAAAGAGGTAGGACTGCTCACAAATCTCTTCCCCGCTATGGCCTTTCTCCATTTTGCAAAATTAAAGAAATCGCTTTGATTCCAGAAGAAAAGCCAAAGAGCTTAAACGTATCGGAAACACGACACCACGAGTCTCTTTAAATTATTGCTGGTATTACGGTTTAGGTACTACACACAAGAATGTTAAAAAGCACGCTTCATTTTGGCTTAACCTGGAATTCAATATTCCACTTGCCATTTCTGTTCTGTATATATTCGCGACTCGGTTGCAAAGGGCTGAAGATTATAGTGCATCCTAAGAACGGGTACACTTCAAAGACTGCTGCATTAAAAAAATCATTTTGACCTGTACTGTACGTTGTACTTTGAGATGATGGGTATATACTTCTAAAATGGACGGTTTATTTGGCCAAACGGGTCCGGAGACTAAAGAACATAAATAGATACAAGCCTGGGTTGTAAAAGTCCACTGATTAGTCGATGACGTAGAGTAACATCGCAGTGCCAGTAATGTGAAATCTATGGGCTGCTCAGCGTTATATTAAAAACGCAGCTAGAATTGAGTGGGATATGTCAATATATTTTACATATTGATATTTCCCCTGGCTCTTTATTATAACACTTTATTGAATGACTGTTATAGGCATTTATTTGAGAATGTTCTTAGATGCATATACAATACCTGTGTAAAGAAAAATGGGTGCTTTTACCAAAAGTAGGATTAGTCCAATACTTCAAAAATCAGATTTACAAAGTCCTCCATAACGGAGAAAGCGTAGTAAAATGTCTATGGTGCATTTTGCAAATATATGTAAAATACGATTATCAGGTTGATAAAACTACGGACAAAATGTTTTTGAATGGACAGGAAACAGTTGGCTTTGCAATCCATGAGGTCTTACGAGGAACAGAAGAAAGACACCGGAACATCAGACGAATCCTCCGGCGAACAGGCGGCGTTCAAGCGCTTCGGACAGGCCTTATCACCCGCGGTGTCAGCGGTCGGTCCTTCCAACCTCAAAAGTAAGAGCGCTTTCTTCCCCCTCTCTGTACACTTACTGATAATCAACTGACGTGAAAGACTTGTGAATACCAGTATTTTCTTGTCTATATAATGAGGCAGGCACAGCTGAAATAAAACAGGGTGAGTTTAAAAGGGAAACTTCGACCTTTGCTTTAGAAAGTAATCTTTAGTTTTAATCAAACTGAATGACTTCACCAGGGCAGCCTCATTTCTTATTAAGCATCTGGTGCATTAATTGCCATAACTCTGCAGCAGACCAGTTGGCTAATAAGACTTACATTTTATTTCTTTCCACTGTAACAAACTGCTGTTTAGGCTGCCTTGCAAACCTCGTTGTTTGCTGAAGTCCACGTTCATGTATGCTGTCTTAAAGTGGCGTTATACTGCGCTTTTGCGCTATTGGTTTTTGACTAAATGGGTGATTCAACTTTGCTGTGGGGTTTAGTTCTCTCTGGGACAGCTTCTAACACGTATTTCCCAAAAAGACCAGAGATCTGGCTGTTACTCATGTTTTTAAGATTTTTAAAGTGATATTGAAAAAATAAACTTGTCAGAAAGTCCTTCTGTCATATGTAACATCCACACAACACGCCGGTAATATATTTGAAATGTGTCTGCTGTAAATTGCGCTTTTAGAAGACTTGAAGCTTGCCTCTTGTTTTTTTTTCTTCCTACTAGACAATTGTTGTATGAACGTTTTTTAGCAATTACCTTTATGACGTATAAACAATAACTATTCCCGGGTGTTGTTTGTTCTGCTTTAAATTCCGCGGTCTTTCGTGGAAAAACAACGCCAATATCCTTTGAAATTAAAAGGAATCAAAAGGTGACGCTAACGTTTGTCTGATTTCAACTGCATGTGAATCACGCTCTGTATTGTTTTAATTAGACGCCTGCGAGAGCGATGAAGACAGCGACGAAGAGAGCAAAGATGAAAATCCACAGGACGGGCAGGAATCCAATAAAATTTCTACGACCACTGAGGAGGGAAAGGACACTGACAGAAGCCCCACTAAAGCCCACCTGTTTGCTAGCAGTGACTCCGCAAGCAGGGCTAGGACCGAAGACCCAGCACGGACCGACAAAAGCCCGGCGGACTCCAGGCAAAGCCCAGTCACTATTATCTCCAGCACCACAAGATCGTTAAGTGGCGAAGACCTGAAGCCCTCAATACGTGACCCATCCAAACAGGACGAGTGCAGGCCTATGAGCAAAGAGAATTACGTGCCCTTGACTGTTCAAACGGACAGCAGCGCTCACATGAGCCAGGGTCATTTACATAATTTTGGATTTCCACCTGGTCTGGCAGGACAGCAGTTTTTCAACCCCCTGGGTGGGGCTCATCCTTTTCTTTTACACCCCAGTCAGTTTAACATGGGAGGCGCCTTCTCCAATATGGCGGCGGCAGGCATGGGTCCTTTGCTGGCTGCCGTGTCTTCTGCGGGGGTTAGCACCATGGACACGGCCAGCATCGCCTCCCCGCAAGGGCTCACGGGAGCGTCGGGCCTGCCCTTTCACCTACAGCAGCACGTGCTAGCATCGCAGGTAACAACCTTATCTCGGCTCGGGGTGCGCGGAGACCCTACCGTTTGCCATCTTTACCTCCTACTTCGCAACCAGTTTCTAATTTGCAAGCCGTTGATGAAGAAAGGGCATTTTGTAGGGTCAGTATGATAGTTCGTAGCTGGATTGAAATATTAATGGGTGTGTGCAATAGGGAAGAATGTTAAAAGATATTAAACATCCGTGTATTTTTAAATGAACTCCACAAAAGGTTAGAGATTTGAGTGCACTTCGAAAATTAAAATTAAGAAGTGCAATGCGGTGAAAGGGACAGGTCCCCCCTTGGGATTTTAGTCTTTTTGTTTTTTGCTCGTCACTTGTGTTTGCTTTACAAATGGCTCCTTACACTATCCCGAGCCGTGAGCATGTACAGCAATATTACACGGAACATCCATGTAACGTCTTAGAATCCCACTATTAAATGTTATGTGTTGAAACCAACAGACTGCGGGGGTATCAACAGTTCGATTCTAATTTATCGAGGCTTGTAAGGTCACAGGTTAATTCAGACCGTATTTCGAGGAAAGGAAAGTGGTCATTAAAAGGACTTACACCCAGCATGCATTATGTGAAAGGTCTTTGTTCGTAAAACGAGGTTCTCCCTTTACAAAATGTTACTCAAAATACACTAGGTGCAAATTCATACGCGATTTCTAGTTCTGGCCAAAAGTATTAATAGCTCCACCGGTTGAACAGCAAACAGTAACGATCTATATCTAATTACATGTGACTTTAATGGAAATATTTAAACATGGCACGTCACCGCTAATATGTTATTCTTTATGTATAGTTTATAAGTGAGAGATCTCTGCTTTTTATGGGTTATAGCATGTCAACGTTCTGAGAAAGATAACTGTTCCTCCCTATGCTAAGGTGTTGCTGAACATCTTTTTGCAGATATGTTGGTTTTGACTTTCGTGGAAACGAAAACAGCATCTTTTTCTTCACACACAGCAATAACCTCAAATCCTTATAAGCTATTTTTTAAAAATTATTTAAAAGAAGAGTATATTTTTGACACGTCTGGGCTATTTGTGAAAAGGCCTATGGGTGTATTTACAATCATTTGCTGACTGGGTGAATTAGATCATTGATACATGTCCCTACAAAAATCCAGAGAAAAGTGGTGCATATTTCAGAGATATTTGAATGTGTTTTAACTGGGGTTGGTTCCACAGGCTGGCTAAGAAACGACAACATTAGTAAATAAGTTATCCCCCAAGAGTGGAAGATAACAGCTATAAGCTGTAGGACTGCAGGGATCGCTGCCTGCTTGCGTAATTCGCGCGTGTAAGATCACGGTGATGTCAGGTTCCCGCTGTCATTCCGTCAGGCGTTTAACTGCCTTGTTTTGTTTGCAGGGCCTGGCGATGTCTCCCTTTGGAAGCCTTTTCCCCTATCCTTACACCTATATGGCGGCTGCTGCCGCCGCCTCCTCCGCCGCTGCCTCTTCCTCCGTGCATCGCCACCCGTTTCTGAACGCGGTGCGCCCGCGTCTCCGGTACAGCCCCTATTCGATCCCCATGAGTATACCGGACAGCAGTACTTTGCTGACTACAGCTCTCCCTACTATGTCCAACAGCGCCATCGAGATCAAAGCCAACAGTATGGCAACAAGTCCAGTTTCGGCCACCATGGACTCTACTTCGGAGGTGAATGGTAGATCCTCCACGATATCTTCAGGCTCAGTCTCTCTGTCCCCAAAAACGTGTCCTGAGAAGGATTCCACCAACGAACTGCAAAGCATTCAACGCTTGGTCAGCGGACTAGACTCGAAACAAGACAGGGCAAGAAGTGTCTCACCTTAGCGAAAGAAAATAATAATAATAATAATAATAAACGTACATTTCTAGCTAATGCGGGTTTGTTTTTGCAAATCTATCCAACTGTTGTTGTTTTTTTCAATGCACTTTGTTAGAAGAAAACGTAAAAGTATATTTCTTGTGTTAACAGAAAACACAGACTTTGATTTTTTTCCCCCTGTATTTTTGACTACCACATAAGTATTGGAACGAAAAAGGTTTAGTAAGAATTCTGATAATCAATCGATAAAGTTGCTGCTACGCCATATCTATATTTTACATGTCGGATGCTGGGAGAACGAAATAAAAAAAATGTCGCTAAATTGGTTAGGATGGTTTGTAAACCTGTTTCTGGTATAACTTGTAAAGTGCTGTGTTTGATAGGAAAAATGACAAATGTATATGAGAATGATTATGTCCGGAACAAAAGAAAGGCTTTGCATGTCCTACATGACCATGTCTCGTTTGCTGATTGCCACTGATTTATTTTAAGGCGACAAAAAAGAAAATATATTATATGTTGGTGTAGGCCTCCCCTCTCCAAACAGATTTGCAAGACAGTTTTTAGAATACCCTTTTACTTTCCCCGTGCATTTGAATACACAGTGATTTTGTATGTAACCGAAAATAGAATCCGAAAAGAGAAATTAAAACGGGAAGCTTGGACTATAAATATATTAAAAAATATTTATGTAATTATTTGATATTTCTTGTAAATATAGGCTACCGGATTAGAGTTCTCAAGAATCTGCCCTTAATTTATTGGCGTTGTACATATTTTTTGTAAATATAGTCTGCCAGTTGGTTTGATCGTTTCCGTCTTTTCAGTCAGGATGGAGAAACCTGTCCAGGATCTCCGCCATCCCACCTTTTTAGCTGTCTGTATAGTTGACTGCAAAGACAATGATGTGTCATCGTAGTTTTTCCCATGGTCTCTGTGTTAAGATTGCTACTGTTCAGAATAATTACAAGTGACAACAGCGCACCAGTGGCTTCAAACGTGTTGAAGATTTCCTTTAGAAATTTTGTTTGTGTGTCAAAACGAATGGATTAAAAAAAATCCGTTTTGCAGCTTGAAAGTAAAAGTGCCGAAACTTTATTACAATATGATGAAGGTTTAATTTGTGTTTCTAAAGTTGTCATTGGATTTCTGTAGTTTAAAGATTTTTGTTTTGTTAACAAATGTTTCCTGAAAGTTTCAATAAAATATTGAATTGCACCACAACTTGTGCTGATTTGCCCTGCGACATCTCAGAACTTGGTGTAACGTTACTCATGTGTAATATTAGTCATTTCGTTCTAGAATTAATTTTCCTTGATTTGGTTTCGGGATATTTGCAGATCACTTTTCTGGAGTAGACTTAGTCTTTTGAGTAAAATTCCATCTGTTTGGAACTCACAATCTGTTCACGAAAACGTCACTAAAATGTTCTAGATGCCGTGATTTGATTTCATACGTTAATGTAAATTAAAAAAATCTCATGGCAAATAGTGACAACACACTAGACAATGTTGAATATCTGAACAGGCTGTTTATTGTGGTCATTTAATTGCAAAATAAGCTGTTAGGTGTACCAGGCTTTTGAAGATAGACTCCTGCAGAACATAAAAAACCGTGTCAGCACTTGTAAGCGTTGCAAATAAAGACATCTATTCTGCGGTTTCCACTAAAAGTATTACACATAACAAAATCGCAATTGTAGAACACATAGAGAGATCTTGGAAACTGATTTTTAGTTTGAAATAGATTACATACTAATAACATAAAAATAGCAAAACCCTACACTAAAATGTAAAATACGGGTAATGTTGTGTACATACAGTGATAGAATATCTTGTGTTAAAAATAACACTAACGCAGTGTTGAATTTATCACATTGTGTGTTCACAATAAGGGTTGTCTGATTTTTTATTTTAGCACAGGGGTTTGTTATTTGAGTGCAGGTTTCGGCAAAATGAGCTTTACGAAACTCTGGTGCTTGTAAACCTTGCAAATCAAAAAGTTAATTAATCTTTGATTAAAATATAAATGACAATCTAGAGTCTTTGGTTTTGAATTAAATCAGCTTTAACTGGAAAACAACAATAACACGTCTTGGGCGACAGTGATACTCTTAACACAGAGCTCCCAATATCTGAAAACATTTACTAAACTCTGTAAAGGCTGTGCTAGTGAAGTTGAGTGGAAATACAGGGTGGAATATATTGATTTCTGAACAACACAAGTGGACGTATAAAGAATGCAAAATAACTAGATTATCGAGTTCATTCCGCCTTGAGACATGTCTTTATCAACTACATATCTTTATTTGTGTGTAGTGAGGTTAATATGTAACAAGTGTGGCGCTTGGAAATTGGAGTAAACATCGTGCAATCTATCTGTATTGCTCTTTCTATTGCTCACCTGGCGCCTTCGTTGATCTCTTCGTTGATTTTATGACAAGGAAGGCGGCTGCAGATCTGCTTTCTGTCTCATTACTGTGCCTCGTCGACCGCCACCTCGTGGCAAACAGAGGCAGTGCGCTTGTAAAAGTCCCCTTTTTAAAAGGAAGGAAAGTGTTTTACAGGGCACCTTTCAATATTAGTGTTTTAATGGACCTATGAAGAGAATAAAATACAAATCAAAAAGACCAAATTGGACATTGGTGTTGGCGCCTGGCATAAAAAGATAACTGGACTGTCATTAACAAGGCATTTAGCAAGACGCGACAGAAGACGTTGGACTCAATAGGGAAAGGTGCTCTGACGTTATCTACGATGTTTGCGCTGCAATTAAAAGATAGATACCTTTTTCACCAGGTCAGGGAAAACACAAACGAACCGTAAAATACCTGTTTTGTGGGTGTCAGCCGTGTTACTGTATTCAATAAGGTCCAAAGTAAAACAACAGATAAAGACAATAATAAGATTTACTTATCCATGCTTAAATTAGCTCGAATGTGCTATAATTGTACTGAATACGTAAAATGCCGTCCTGTACATTTCTCAATTCAATAGCCCTTTCCAATTCGCTCATGCACACAAAGCCCACTTCTGCTCATACGATCCGTCAATTTTGCGCCAGTAATCGTTCATTTAAATTTTGCACCAATACAACAAATGAGTTACCCTCATTCTAATTAATATCCGACTCCGCTAAAGCCCGGGTGAATCAGAAAGATAAAGGTAAATGTAGCTCGACCTCTGAACTGTAATTCACCGCTTGGTGCCGTATACTGTAGTACACATTACGAAGCGCGATGTGTGCTGTACAATCTACGGGAACACTGTGAAATGGAAGATCTCATTCTAGTTTTGGCAAACTAGAAACTACATTTGAGATGTTATTTTAAAATTACATTTTAATATTATTACACCAACACTATCAGTCCCTACGGAGTACTTTTATTAAACGTACCTTTATGAAATGCAGGTCCTGTGTGACGTATTTGTCAGTTTTAAGCTTACTTGTACATTACGTCAAAACCCCCTAGTCCACATATATATATATATTCGCGTGAATAACATCTGCAGTTGTCTGACAGTTGCGTTCATTCCAACATGACAATTTTCCTAGTTTATTCATAGCTCGGGATATTAAACTCTAGTACTAAACACCATTTAGCTTCAACGCAACGCATTGATTCTTATTATTAGTTAAAGGAATTACCAAAGTCGGGGGGGGGGAACCTTGAGAAATCTTGTCTGATGACCTGTGAAACGTGATTGAAGCAGACCCGGGTGAAGCGAGGGCTTTTCATTTCGACCGGTACTCGAACTGTGGCCGTAAGATTGATCACATCTTGGGACAATTCAATTCTGCCGCACTAAAATGTCACCTACGAATTTATTTTAAAAAAACGTGTAAAGGGGAATGCACTCTTATTAATAGGAACCAGAACAAAACATTTTCTCCATTTTGTTCTCCGGGTTGTGGGCTGAATTAAAAGCAGACAGAAATATGGACGAAAATATAAAAAAACTTAAGATCTTGCACTATGTTTACTGGGTTCCTAAGGCTTAGCCGAATTGTTATTTTATTGTAATAATATTGCAAGAGAAATACGCATCATACTGCAGCTCTGTGAAACTGGATTTATGGAAAAATATTCCTTTTGTATGTCAGGAACATAGCAGAAGATTAATAAAACTGACCATAGTGCGACCATAGCGGAGTGGTTTCAAGAGCGCAGTTAAGGCACTGGTAAATACTCTGCGTAATAATTAATAAAGCGATACCCAATATATAATTACATCACGTATTATTTAACCGGTAACAGCGATCTCAAACGTTACAGTTGTATTTAAAAGTATGCAATGCCTACAAAAACTAATCTTATTTTGACATGGTTTAAATTTCAACCCTGTTCAGCCTACTGTCACGTGTAACACATTTTAGACTTTGCCTTTGAAGATAAAATAATAATATTGGATTTTCTGGGGCTTCTTTCGCACTCAGCTGTCTCTGCCACGTAAGTGAACAAACATAAGGATTTGATCATGTTGAATAGTTCAGAACTGAATACCTGGTTTCCTATAAAACGAATAACATTCATGGGGCATCAATAAACGTGAATGTTTTGAAAAAAGCTCAACCATTCAAATACTATAAATACGCCAATTATTGCTCATCATTTCATGATTTACCTCCGTACAATTTGACGGCTCAGATGGGTGACCATCAGGTGCTGTACTGCGGCAAACGCCTTGTCATTTTTATGGGCGTGTAGTCTGCGGCGAGCCGTAACTGACAGTGTATCAAACTCCAGAACAGATTTTAGAAGCTGAAAATGAAAAGGTATTTATTACCTTTTGTTCTGAATTATGAAAAGGGCAACTGCCTTCAGAAACCGTGCTCTTTCATCTCCAAACGGGGTCAAGGAACCGGAGAGAACCCGCTGTGACAGCCTGGTTTGACACAGAATAGGCCTTTAACATTCATATTTTCAACTGCATTACGTCTGCCCTTTGGAGTGTGTCTGTACGGCTCACAGAATTCGAGAACAGGGTTTCCCAGCGTCCGAATGAAGCGAGACAAGTATCAGTACAGCACTATCCATAGCGCGGAGATGGTGCTCTTATATGATGGGTTGTTACGCGTTCTCCAAGCAAGGCTATGCTGGGCTTCACAAGCGGATATCATATCTTAGCCCAGGGCTCCGGGGCTCAAGTACAAAAGGTTTTGACTGCACTAGCCGCGCAGCTGGCATGAAAATCAGCTTTAATATTCTGAAAATATGGTTAAAACTATATATGTTGTCTTTTTATAATACGCGGTTTGCATCGGAATAGCTGACTGGTTTTCAACTTCTAGACAGCCCACATTACATTAGGTTCGCTTCTGACGGTTTCTTTACTTTTGCCAGCTATTGTATTGTTATGGAATTTCACATAATTTTCGTGTAGACACCGAACACTCCAACACATCAGACTATACGTGAAATGAATAAAAATGTCACCTATTAAAAACAAAAAAATCAATTGGAATCCTGGCTTGAGCAGACTTTAACTGGAAATACTGTCCATCTGGGCACTTTTCTGAGGGTTTTACTCTCAAACTGCTATTGGCCGAAGTAAAGGAATATTTTCACACTTTTTTAGAAAAAGAGCACAACCATTTTCACGTCAAACTCTAAATATAGAACGTGATTCTGTGTAACATCGTATTAAGAAAGCCTTTTCAGAAAAAAAAACAATTTGTCCGTTTTAATACACGTGCTATTGAACCGGTTTGGTGTAAATTTGTAGCACGAATATTCTTTTGTTAATGTAAGATTATATAATTCGCGGTATTGGCTTTTCCATGTCATATTGCTGTGTATTGTATACTAATTATTATTTTAATTACCGTCTTAAAGAATCTCATGATGATCTTAAAAGACTAGAATCTATCTTAATGGGCCAAATGTGACATATTAAAATACCTTTAATAAATTACAGATACATTTAGGCTATATAATTGACAGAATTCTGTAAAAATAGAAAATATTTCGGAATTCAGCAATATACGTAAACGAACCAAAAAACTCATATTTATAGTATACCAACATTTAAATATTCAGAAATGGATTTGATCGACTCGTGTTAATCAGTAACAACGATCAAATCTGACCGGTGCCGTCGGTTGTCATGATGTTTTCTGTTATTATCGTGAATCATGGAAAGCTTGTGAAAAGCGTCAGACGAAAGCATTTCAATTAAGCTTTCAAACTTTCAATTTCAAAAGGACAATTCTCCATGAATAACAGCTGTTCTTCAATAAATTGTATGATAGAAACACGTGATCAC